TTATAGAAAGTTAGATTTGATAAATTATAATGTCTCTAAATTGTAAACTTCATTTATATATAAATAACCTTTAAATTATAAATAGATTATATATCTTTACAACAAAAATAATTTATAATAAATATAAATTAATAGATATATAAATATTTAATTAATATATTTTTATATAAAGTATTTTTTATTAAATTTATCATTCAATTTTTCATTATTACTAGTTATTTTTTTTTTATCAATTTAATATGTTTTATAAATAAATAATTTTAAATTTTTATATATATTAATCAATTTTTATACATATATACATTTTATTACATAATGTTTTTCTTATTATATTTATTATACTTTTATTTTACAATCATATATTTCTATTTTTTATATTTATATTTTTATTTATTATACTTATATCACTTAAATATATTATTTTATATATTTTATCTCCTTTATATCTCAATTACCTTTATAATTAATTAATAAATTATAAATTATATATTCCTTTATAATATATACATATGTATAACAACTTTTATTAGATTTGTAGAGATATAAAAATATAATAAATATTTGTATATATATTACTTTAATTTTTATAATATATATTATGTTATTATATATTCCATTATATAAATATATATGTTTATATATCATTGTTATATAAACGTATAATATGTATAGATTGTAAATTATTACTAATCCGAACATTTAAAATAATTTATTATAAAAAATAATACTAAATATTATTTTTTATAATATTATATATTTTATGAATAAAATAGGATCAAGTGAATTTGGATAGGTATTTTTAGTATAGATATAATATTTTTAATACTTTAAGATTATAAGCAATATAGTGTTTATATAATAAAAATAAGTAATTTAAGACTATAATAATACTAATATTTTATTTAAAATAAAATATCTAGTTACTACGGAAGGAGTAATAATATAATAGTAAAATAAAATGATTATAAGTAATAGTCTATTATATAAAGATTAATATAATAAACAATACTTTTAATATTGTTATTACCTTTTATAAGTATACTTATTTAATAACTAATATCTATTTTTATGTACTTAAAGTACCGATATATATTTTTATAATATATTATGTTTTACTATTTAAGATAATTAAATCTAAAAAAAAAATTAGATTTTTAATCTATACTTTTATAAGTATTTAATTATAATAATCACTAGTTTAAAAGTATCAAATATAAAATTTATAGATTGATACATACATCCTTATCAATAAGAATTATATATAAATAAATATAAAAATCGTATCATATATGAAACAATTTAAATTATAATTTTATAATATTAATATACTTTTAAAACAAGTTTAAACTTTATTATAATATAATTGGATAGTATAATTAAATAATTTTTAGTATTAATTATAGTAGTTATAGTAATTATAAGTATTTATTATTCATTTAAATATAAAATTTTTAAGATAATTATAAAGCCTAATAAATTATAAGATATTAATTAGTTAGTCTATTAAGGTTCTAGTTATTAAGATATTATATATTTAATTTGTCTCTGAACCTAAAAATTTGGTTGAGTATATATTATTTACATTATATAGGTTAAGTATTTTGATTCTACCTTATTTAATCTTTAAGTTACTATATTGTATTTATAATTATATTAACTAAATTAGTAAGTCTAGAGATATTAATAAGTATAAAATAAGAATCATAATAATGAACGTAAGTGAATATAAGTATAATATAAAGATAATTTATTATATATAATAAATATAAGTTGTATAAGTATATAAGTATAAGTTATAAAATAAATAAATTAAAATAATCGCAAAATTTATTATATAAATCTTTAATCGATTTACTTATGGTATCAATAATTTTAGTAAAAATTGAATCATCAGTATTATATGTAAAATTATTATGAATTATTTCATCATATTGTTCTTCTATTAGCATTAATGGAATATTTAATATAGAAAAAGGTAAATATAAACATTATGAAGATTGTATATCTTTATAAAAATAATATCTATAACATAAGTAAATAATAGGTAGTAATAAGATCATAAAAGAGAGGATAATAGATAAACAAAATAAAATTTATATGTAGTAATAAAAACCGGACCAATATATAAGTACGGGTAAGAATAAGTAAATTATATAGCTAAGGATAAGTAAAAGAAGATAAATATTGAATAATTTGATATAATCTTATTTATAGAAATATGTAATATAAATTATATAACTAGGTTTGTAAATATAATATTAGTCTAAAGAATATATAAATAATTAATATTCGATACTGAAAAATTATACTTTAGTTATTATATTACCCCCCCGTCATCTTGAGATGACGGATAATAATTTTATTAATACTTAAGATACTTATAATTAGAATATTATTGTAATTAGGATATAGTTATAGAAAAATACAGGAAGAATATATAATTATATTCTCCTAAGGTAATATATTTACTTAAAAAGGTTATATAAATAAACTTATACTATTTATTTATATAAGTAACAGCTTAATTCGCAGTATATAGTGATTACATATAAGGTTTATAGTTTTTAATATCTATCTAAGTATATAATGTAATTGTTCTATGATATATAATGTTAATCTATTAAGTAATTCATTATCTAATAAATCTATAATATAAATAATTAATAATAAGGAAGGATCATATTAGTTTATTTAATAAAATAGTCTTATAATCTTGGTTCATAAATAAGATTATAATCATAAGGAATGATATTAAATAAATAGTAATATAAATCTTCATACTTCTTATATTTATACTGTTAATTATATTACCTATTTAAATATGGTTGTATATATATAATTCCTACCTTAAGTAATCATAAAAATTATAATATAAAAACAAGTTAAGCAGATAGCCCTGAGGCTACCTAAATTTCAAATGTATTAGATAATTAGAGAATTATTTTATTGAAATTTTTTAATTTGGCCCTTTTGGGGTTTAACGAGGTTTACTACGTAAACCTCCCTTTAAATAAAAACGATAATTTATTTAGAAGGTGGTCTCCAAAGAAGACTATGTTTAAAATAAGATCTCAATAAGATCGTATTATAAATTTTTTTTTAGAAAACAAACTTTCGATACTTTCTTCATTTATTTTAAATTTTAAATTTAGATACCTTTTATAAATTACGACGTTTTTTATAAAAACTTCTTTTTATAAATTTTATAATTAGAAGATATAATAAAAGAAGAAATTTATTATTTACATTATTTAGATTTACGTAGTAAATCGTTTTAATTAAAAAGAGGTGGAAGAGTTCGCCCATTTATAGTGGATAGGCTTATCGGCCCATTCTAAAGAACCTTACTATATCGTTAGCCCTAAAAGGTCCAAAATTTTTTAAAAAGTACCTTCGGTACTTTTTTTATCCGACAAACAGGTTCTACCGCGTAGTTGAAAACCATTGATACTGTAGGTATTCTTATATAAAATTACTGTCAAGGGAGTTTCCTATGGAAACCCCGTTAGGCCCTGCGCCCCCTATTATTAAAAATACAAATAACAAAAAAATATTACATATTTTTATTATTTTATTAATTTTTTTTTGAAAAAATTAAAGTATTTTTTTTGTTATCGGATTAGTAGTGTAATAGGTTAACTCATCTAATTTGGGATTAGAAGATTACAAGTTCAAATCTTGTCAATCCGAAGAATTGGAGGTGGGTTTACTACGTAAACTACTACTTCTAATTTAAAAATACGTAGTATTTTTCTTATAAAAAAAATACCAAAGGTACTTCTTAAAATTAAACAAATAATAAAAAGAAAGCTAATCGAGTTCTAAAGGACGCTACAACGTAACTGTTATTGAAAAATATAATTTTAAAATATATTAAAATTTGAAAAATGAACCAATAGGCCCGGCCTACAGGCCTGGCCATCACTTTGTGACGGCCTATCGAAGATACCATAGGTATCTTCTCTTTTTATTTTTTATAATTAGAATAGTAACTTTGTGGCCATTTTAAATAAAATCTATATAAGAGCGTATTTATCAAAATGTAATATTACATTTAAATTACTTTTTAAACCTTCAATTACAAATTGACTTGTATTTTTATAAATTTAAGGTGAAATAAAACCAAGAATAATTAATTTTTTTTTTTAATTTCTTCAATTTTTTCTACCCGACAAACGGGTTCACCAGTTTTAGATTTGTATATTTTATAAATTTTTAAATAGTTAAAACGAGTATCTTTTATTAACTAAAAAAAATTCTAAAATTTAAATAAGATAACTTTAATTATCTGATATTATATAAAAAAAAAGAACATTTAATAGAAAAAAGATGGCCGATAGGCCTATCCACTATAAAGTAAAATAATTTTTTTTTACTGCTTGACGGGGTTCCATCCGCGCCAAAATAATTTACAATTATTCTTACTTATCTGGTATATTAATTTTTAAATATGATCAATTATAATTGAAAAAATGGTTTCCAAAGGAAACTACATATAATAAATGAAAGTAAATTAAATATTAAAAATTATAAATTGCTTATAAATGAATAAACATCACTTTAAAAATAAATTTCAAGTTATCTACAAAAATTAGATAAAAATATTTACGTTTACAAAGTAAACGGATAATTTTATAATATTTATTCTTATTGAATAATTGAATTTACAGATGGTGATGTAAATTTTTATATTCCTATTAAAAATTATATAAATATATAGTTCCTAGATTTAGAATAACCCAAAGGATATTTATAAATTTAAAATTATGCCGTTTACTTTATAAACGGAATCCTTAGAAAGCGGATATTAATAAATTTTGTATTTTTTTTATTTTAATTTTACGACGTTTACAATGTTTATAAAAATAGGATATAATATTTTCGCTTTAAGCGAGTTCGTCAGCTTTATGCTCACACAATTTTTAGAAAAACGTTGTATGATCCTTTAAGACTCTATTTCTTTCTTAAAAAAAGGATACCTACAGTATCCTTTTTATTTTCAGGTATAATAGGATTTGAACCTATATAAATGATTTTGAAGATCATTGTTCTACCATTAAACTATATACCTTAATATAAAAGAATTAAGATTAAATTTTTCAAAAATAAAAATATCTTCAGTATTTAATACCAGACTTTGCGGATTCTATTGCGTAATTAGGAATCATCAATATATACGATATCCTTATATATAAATTGTAAAAATTTATATTTTTATTCTTAGGATTTATCTTTTATAATATGCGTCATCACCCATAATCAATTACCTTTGTTATTTTTTTTATAAATATCTTTGGGGTTATTTTAAAGGGAGTTACCTATGGAAACCCTTTTTTAATAAGAAAGTTTCAAAGGTAGATTTATATTAATAAAATTAATAATATTATATCACAAAAAATATTTATAATATCTTTAAATAAAAAATAATACTAACGTAAACTGGTTCATCGTTTACTTTGTAAACTATTATTTATAATACCATAGGTATTCGAAATAACTATTTTTTATACATTTACGAAATTTACGTTTTTAATTATGAAAAAGGGGGTGGTCTCCTTTGGAGACTTCTCTGTTAGATACTTCGTATCCTATTTTCAAATCAAAAAAATTTTTTTATTTACTTTTTATATAAGGAAGATATAAAGAAAAATCGAAATATTCTATCATCATATTTTGAGAATTACTGATACTCCTAAGGAGTATCGGAAAGACATAATATATGCAAATAAACATCAATAAATAAAACCAATAAAAGAAATAAAATAAGTAAATTTAAATTTTAATAAAATATGTTAATGGTTATTTATAATAACAGAAAATAGATTATATAGTTTATTTAGATCTACCATTATTCATATTAGTTGATAATTCTTTTAATTTTACTAATCCAGATTCTGTAAGATGACCACCTGATCTCATTATTTCTATACCTAATGAAAAATCTTTAAAATCTAATGCTTTCATACCATATAGGGGATATTTATTAAAAAAAGGTATAATTATTTCAGTTATTTTAAATAAACCAGCTATATAATATACTGCTACTAAAGTATTAGGATCTGATTTTAGTATTTTACCAATAGTAAAATATTGTAAAATTCTATTAAGTAATACTAAATCTCTTTCATGTTGTGAAATACGAAATAATGGATTACAAGTAAAATTTAATTTATTTTTAGATTTTATTATATGTAAACCAAAACTTCCATCTGCTTGAATAAAGCCAGCTATCCAATTAGGATTTAATAAGTAAGTAGAAGATATGAATAAAGGTTTATTAAAAGAAGGTATATTAGAAAATTTTAGCCATTAAAAGTGTATTTCCTAAGGGCTAAAATTTTCTAAAATCCTTCTTCAATTAAATGATTCTTAGTGTCCATAATGTTTAAAGCCTCACACCATAATTTAAAATGTATAAATTTGGTAGATTGCAAAGGATAAATTTCAAAATGTTTTATTATTATTTTATGTTCTTCTAATTTATGTACTTCAAATCTACTTATATTACCTGATGAATAAATATATTATATACCCCTAAAATAATTTTGTATTGATTTCAATAATAAAATATTTTCTGTTGTATTTTTAACACATACTGAATAAACAAGTACTACTCTATATCCTAATTTATACGTTTTACTAACTCTAACTACTATACTAAATGTACCTTCACCATCTGTGAAACCTGTAACAAACCAAGGATTTAATTTTATATAATTTTTATTAATATTCATCATCATTTAAATTTTTGAGAATTAATTATCCGTATAAGAATAAGAAAGACATCATTAAAGCAAAAAGCCCCATCGCCTCTACTAAAGCAAATCCCAAGATCGCGTAACTAAATAATTGTCCTTTTAAAGAAGGGTTTCTACTTAAAGAGTTTAATAAAGAACTGAAAACGTTACCAATACCCATAGAAGTACCACCTAAAGATAAAACAGCTAAACCAGCTGCGATAAATTTTGCACAAGCTAACATAAAATTTATAGTTATAAAAAATAATTTCAATTATTATAGTATATCAATGGTATTATGAATAAAAATCTTTATTCCTATTGAACCATTACCAATTCTTTTTTTTCCATTACCTCGTTTTAATGGACTATCTATATTAGATTTATAATCAATTAAAGAATAAGAAGAATTAAAATGAAAATTACCTTTACTAAAAATAAATTTTCTAGCTCTACTGGCAGTCTTTCTTTTTGTTAATCTACCAGAAAAAATCCATTTTATACCATTAATATGAGAACTAATTTTTTTATTTAAAATATATTTAAAAATAAATTTATAATTATATAAAGATGGTAAATAATTAGATGATTTTTTAATTTTTACTTTTCTATTTATTATTTTTCTTAAAAAAAAATAACTTCTTTTTCTTAATCTTAATGCTAAATATTTAGTTAATATTTCACTATTTAAATAAGGATTATTAATTTCTAAAAATTGAAAATAAACAGGTATACCCATAATATCAGTTAAAATTTGATTAATTTTATCTATTTTATTATTTAATAAATTATATTTTTTTATAGTTATATATATATTTCTATAAAAAAAAATATATATTTTTACTCCACCACTATAATAATAAAATTTAGGAGAACTAATTAAACCTTTTTTTAAAAATAATATTTTTAAAATTTTATAAATATATAATTCTTTATTTATATTTTTATTTACTTTTTTATACGTTATAATATTCCAATTACCTATTTTATTAAATTTAGTACTTAAAGGATACTTAGATGACATATATAATATATTATATTTTTTTTTTATTATACTAACGATAATATTAGGAATTAGTAGATTCGAACTACTTCCATCTAGTTGTAAGCTAGAAGCTCTACCAATTAAGCTAAACTCCTTTTATTTATTATAAATAATAAATAAGTATTATTATTTATATAAAAATATAATAATATATAATAATATTTATAAATTTTTAATTATACAAAACTTTTATTTTATATAATAAATTATTAATAAAATTTATAACTGATTTATTTAAAATAATAAATTTATAAATAATTAGTATTTTAAATATATTAAATATTATTTATAATAACAATTTATTATATTAATATTAACAATATATAATAAATTAAAATAAAAAATATAAAATTTAGATTTATAAAAATAATAATTTATATAAGATATTATAAAATAATAAAATATTTTGTAAATT